AATCTTTCAACATATAAAGTTGAATACAACAAGTTACTCAAATATTTTATCTTCGAACAAAACGTCAGATATTTAGTGCCCTAGTCTTCCCACCAACCAAGTGGAGGCCACACAGCTTGTGAACCCGAATCCAATAGAGCGCGAACCGTTAAACCGTCGTCACTCGGGTTGTACGCCTTCACCGAGGCCGTCGGCAATAGAACAGTTTGACAAGTGGACTGCTTACGGCTCAGTGGATCAGTGGAGGCGGCCGTGGTGGGAGCTAAGGCGGCCGCTACCTAGCTGAAGCGGCCTCCATCGGACCGGCACTCGAACCGGGGATCCCAAAAACGGAATTCCGGCGGCCTCTCAATGACCCGTGGTTCGAATTCATCGAACGGGCCGACCTGGGGAGCTTCGGGGAACCTCGGCCTTGAGGCCCGGGACAAATTCGAGGTTGCAGGAACCCCGTAGTACCGGTACCGACCAAAGGGGGGAGGGTGGTACTCCAGTCGCGGCCTCTCAGCCAACTGGGGTGAGAAGGGTCTGACCGCAGAGTGGCCGTAAAGTTCCTCTTCACACGCTGAGGGGGGTGACGACCCCCCGCCCCTGGGGGAACGACCCCCCGACTGATCGGGAGAGGGACCCCTTCAAACCCAGGGGCACGGTGGCCGGCAAGGGAGCGACGAGCGTGGCCCGACAGAGGACGTGGCTGAGAGCCCCCGCCCGTGGGGGGTTGAGGGCCCGGCAGAGCCCCGAGAGGAAGTGCCGTTCGCACCCAGGCACAAAACGGCAAGGTGATTGCCCTGGCAGTGCAGACAGGGCCGCTGGTGCGGGCAGTCTCGTTGGAGATGCCTTTCCAAACACGAGTAGCACCAGCGGCGCTCCTTGGCGATGGTTCATCTCGCTGGGACCGGCTTACTCAATAATTTCGGGCACAACGTCACCCGGTGATCAGATGCTCGACAATAGGAGCAGGGGGGCGCCTATCCGGCCACTAGGCCACTATAAGAAGGTAGGGGCGGTGACCCCTCGCGGGAGTTCCGCTCGGTCCTCGGGGGGTTGGCGACGACTTGCCCGGTGGACTTCGCCTCTCCCTGGGCACGGCTCGGTTGGCAGTCGTCGACGGTGCCCGCTGCGTTTTCAATCTGCCTGCACTGCTCCTCCAAGAATCACAGCAGGTCCCTGAAGGGCGGAATATAGGAGGCGCCGTCCCCGCCGTATCTCTCCTCGAAATGGATCCGAAGATCGAGAGGCGGGCGGGACAGCACAATGTGGAGCAACAAAAAGGACCATTCGTCCAACGGTAAATCCAGCCGCCTCAAAGAATTGCAGGCCACCAAGACTGGATTTACGATGTCCGGACGTAGTCTGGCCCGGTCCTTAAGCAGCAGGAGGTTTAGCAGCTGCTTGACGTATTCGTCCGCAATTCGCCGTACGTTGGCGTACCTTCCGGCGAGGAGGTCCCGAGCGGTCTGGTAGGCGTCGTCCGACAATTTCAGATGGCCGACGACGCCCAGGGCCTTCCCCTCCAGTGAGGCCAGGAGGTAAGCCATCTTCTGGCTTGGTGTCAAATCCCTCCGGGCGTCCACTAGGCTATCAAACAGTCCCACAAAGGTCAGCCAGTCGGAGAGGACCCTGGAGAACCCTGGCAGGTCCAGAGTTGGGAGAAGTCTCAACAACTCCGGCTGAGTAGCCTGCTTCCGAGGGGACTCGAGCAGGCTACTCAGCTGAGCTTCACGCCCGTCACTAGCATACTTGGCCCCCGCCTCGATCAAGTCGTCAGTGAGCGAAAAGAATTGCTCGTAGTCCGCGAGGCAGGAGTCATGGACTCTCAGTTCCGTTCCCGAGTCCAAAAGCTCAGTGCAAGCCTCCTCCACTACGGCCCTTCGGGCCATGACCTGCTCGAGCCGCTTCTCTAAGCTATGGACCCGATCGGGTCGCCCTATCAAGGCGTTCGGGGCCCAGCGCAGCTCCGCCTGCAAACGAACCGCCGGTGGCTTGTGCGATGGCATCATTATTAAATACAAATACTACTAAATTAAATCAAACACAATTACACTACAAAATTAATTTAATTAATACAATTACTATTAATTAAATTAAACAAAATTACACTACACGGCAAGTACTCAATGCAGTCGGTGAACAAGGATGCCACGCTGAGGCGACCGACCCTTCGGCAATTTAATCTACAATTCAAATACAAATACTAAAAACAAATACCTGACGCGTAGGTACCTAACTCTAAACTACACTAGTGCTTACGCAGGCATAACAAATCAACAACAAAAAAAAATTTTATTATATTATGGCCGGGTGTGATTGTCGGAACAATCAACCACCCTCTGCTACCAGCAATGTTACGGCCCTGAGTTACCCCGACAAAGGTCGATTGAGCTAGAGCCCATCAGTAACCCAATTCGACGAGTAACTAGAGGGTCGGGCCCAAAATGGCCTATGGATAATTAAATTATAACGTCTAGATACGCAAACACAAAACTTACCGAATTCCAGAAGTAGGGTCTACCACAAGGTCGCGTCAGGGGCAAGTAAATGGTAGTGTGTGTGTAGTGTAGGAAGGTGTGTCATGTAAACTGACGTCACCGATACAATCAGATAGCAGCACCACGGGCGTTGACCGCTCCACAAGACGCTCACTGCTATCGGAACTCAGGTCCAGCGTCACTTAGCACGAACTATATTCGCGCGCGATCTACACCCGGATCACAAAGTTCAGCGCTCCACACGAAAGCAAAATTCCTTCGTACACTTTAACTAATTTATTTTAACTTTAATTAACTACACAAGTCAATCGTCGACACAAATTAATAGCAATCGATGCTAAAATAGTCCATCAAAACTCAAAATTCAAAAGCCCCGTTGTCACGTATATTAACGACAAAATACAACAACATGGAGGCCGTCGATGTGCGACGCAACAACTATTATGTAACGCCCGACGTCTAACCGGCACGGCCGTAGCCCTCAAAAGATTCCTGCAGACTGCCCTCGCTGGCAGCACCGTACGCGCGTATGAAGCGCCCCCTTCCCGCGCAACGCTAACCGTTCCCCGCTCGGAACTAGCGCCTTGCAAGTGTGCGTAAACACTACTATTAACTCAATCGTATTATATAATATATCTAAAATACATTGTAACAAGCCGAAAAAATGGTCAAAATGAGAAGCGTCAGTCCGTGGCAGTCACTACAGTTCAATCGTTCGTTCAATCGTATCGTTCGTATGCCACCGACGGCTTCTTGAAATAAGTTATTTTGATCCTTTTAGTTGAGTTTTTAAAATTCAACCAAAAAGATCAAAACTTTCTTAAGAAAGAGCGATCTTTTTGCAATTGTAAAAGGTTCACGTTTCATAAAAAAAAATATCAAACACTAACTGCTGACTTGGGCAAGCTAATAAGAAAGTAGAGGAAAAATCGGTGTGCATAACATACACATAAAAAAATACGCCGAATACATAAAACCTTCTCCTCTTTGAAGGTTGACAGAAAGTGATACAGGCAAGAAATATAACGTCAGAACAAATCTGGAAAATGTAACTATAATTAAAATACTAAAACACTACCAACTAAACTTGCTTTTTTTACTATAATGTAAGTAAATAAGAGTGTCACACGCGGAACCAAGGGAGGTGTACCCCTCCCCTCCTTAAAAGTTAAAGTTTCGGAGCCCCCCCCCCTTTCGAATTTTTTCATTTTTAATTCTGAGGAAGTTTTCCTCATTTTATTAATTATTATTTCCAGATAAGGCTCCACCCCCTACGGAAGAGGGAACCCCCTTAATCAGAAAAAATAAGGGTACTGATTCAGAGAAATTTCTGTATCTATTTTGACTGCAATGTCTCCGGCGTTGAGGAAGGAAGGAAGAGCTGCAAGAAGAGCAGCTCCGGCTCTATAAAACACTCTAGGGGTAGGACAGACTCGTACCAGGTGGAGTCGGGGTCAATCAATTCGGTTCTTTGACATAAGTTGAACCTAACTTATTTTATTTGTTATCTGCCTAATAAGTACTGTTAAAATAAAACAAAGCAAATATAACTAATAATATTTATCAATTTTATACATATATTGTATTGCTCTAATTAATTCTTCAAAAACATCTTTATGCGCTATTTTTATTTTTCTCCGTCAAAAATATTCAATGAGCAGTCTGTGAAGTTTGCTTTATAAACATCCCTAACGAACATCACTTTTAAATTTCGCCCGTTGCTTTCTATTCTTTGTGTGTGTGTCTCGTCTGGTGTCACAAATTTATTTATAGGGTTGCTGTGTTTTACCTTCTTATGTATGTATACTTAGATCATTGTCGGACACACTTCTAATCTTTCTTCTTCTTTCTAGTCTTTCCCATTTTTTATCATGCCATGCATCCAGTGGCCTTTAATGTGTCTCACTCTATTGTACTTTCTTTTTCCAAATTTTGATTCATCTAATTGTACGATTTTGCCTGGACCATCAATCTTGCTTTTAACTTCTTGGTGCTCCAATTCATAAACAACTACTGTCTCCCGGCAGTAAGAAAACCAGTCAGTCATTGTCCTTGTCGATAAAACTATATTTCTATCTTCACGGGCTGTCTCTAATTTTACTTGAAGATTCAGCTGTCATTCCGACAGCTGGGAATTCCCGAACCATGTTACCGCTGCCCGACTCATTGACCTAGGGCGACAGATGCTCTTTCTGCATCGGAAAATGCCAAGCTGACTAGTCTTACATCTGGAACTTAACGTCATAGGTCTCTTACGATATGTGCCAATTTTTTCTCTTGGAAGGAGCCTATGCTCTTCAGCAAATGCATTGCACTGAGCTGGGATGTTGATACATATTCCATTGGCACCTGAAACAAGCAAAATAGTTCCTATTATAAATCTAATTACTGCTTTACTCGTCAGCTTTTTCTATGAAGTTCACATATGTAGCTATATAATAAAACACAGTGAACCAACCTTATTTCCTCGGCATAGTAGTGGACTCTTCGGCCAGACGACACAGAAGCTCGAGGTTACACATCACCCACGCTGCTCTCAGACGAAGCCGGCGATGCAGGCGGCGGTACTGACACGGTACTGGGAACGGTGGCGCGGGAACAACCAGCTACTGGTTCCGATGACACAGTCATGGGTACAAGTGGCTCGCTAGAGTCCAACATTTGCACACACGAGGGGCCTGCAGAAGAGCTCGCGACAATTGGCTCACCGGAGTCCAACACTTTCACTACACTCGATTCTACAGACGGCACTTCACCACATGGAAGGCCTGAAGAAGAGCTCTTGACAAGATAAAAGACAAGAAGTATAAGCATTACAATAGTATAGTTGTGAGTTGAAGTCCTATATATTAATGACTTATGATAGTAAAGTCTATGATACAAAAGCTTTATTATAGAAGGTCTCTATGATGAATTAGCATTACAATAGTAGAGTTGTGGGTTGAAGTCCCATATATTAAGTATATAGTAAGGTCTATTATACAAAAGAATTATTATGAAGAGAGAGAGAGAGAGAGAGAGGCCTATGTTCAGCAGTTGACTTGTGAAGGGCTGTAATGATGATGATGATTATTATAGAAGGCCTCTATAATGAATAAGTATTATGATAGTAGAGTTATGGATTGAAGTCCTATATTTTAAAGAAGTAATGTCTATGAAATAAAGCAAATATGTGGAAGGTCTCAAATAAGTAAAATCATTATATTAACAGAAATGGGAGTTGAAAACGATTATTATAGTGGCGCGTATGCTGCTTCATGAGCAATTGAGACCGAGGTAAACTTGGACTCGCTAACCGATGTGTCCTATACATATCAACTTAGTGTTGGTGGTAAGCGGGTTTGTTGTAGCAATACGGCTTTCTCGTGGATATCACACACCCATACCGTTTGTGGGCGGCGTCGTAGTGCATAGCGATGCGTCGTCTATTTTTCGGAATAGGATTAGTGCGTTTGGTAACACTTTTAAGTGTAACATGCATACTCAACTTCGTGCCTTAGTGCATTAGCGCTATGATACGTGGAGTTTGTGAACTGGCGTCCTAGTAGCGTGCTACTATGATACGTTGGTGTAGCTTTTAATTAACAACAATACGAATTTTGTTACCAAAGTCGATAAGGATCATGTGGGTGTGTTGTGAGGGAGCGCCATCCGTATGATAGTTACATTGATGCTTACTGCTACTGCGGTATCGCGTCTTGTGATGGATCTGTGGATGTGCAGCGCCTGATTCGACGCATTCTTGTGGTTTTGTTTGATGGAGGTATGCGGTTGGTGATGTCTGCTGGGATGTATGGGGGACCTTGGGATGGTGTAAGCTGAACGATAGTCGTATTGATGCTTGTTGCGTTTTGCAGCATTGCGTCTCTGCGACGGTTGTTTGGTGGGACGATATTCTCAATGGCGCTTTCTGCGCAAAGTCAGGTCCCTTAATTACGGGGCCGCAGACTGTCTGACCTCCATGAATATTTATATAACAACATAATAATATATCTCTGTAACTTCCCCACCTTTGAATAGTTGAAGGCAGCTTGTTGGTAGGTGAGACAAACATGATCGAAAATATATATATTCAACGTCAGTGACACAAATCCTTTCTGACGGCAAATTATTACTATTACATATCTTATAACTACCTTTTGGCTATATCTGCCGTTGTATTGGTTGGTGGAGCATATGTCTCAACCTCATGCGGGTGGTAGTTGAAGGGAGGATTTTTCTCAGGAGGATGAGACTCTCAAGGCTGCGGCCGAAAGCCGCTCAACGTGGGACCCCATTCTCTTGAGGTGAGCAGTAGACTCATGACACGCTCTGCGGCCAGTAGCCGTGCTGATCATGCAATCGGTGGTGATGCCATAGACTTAAATCACGCCTGCGGGAACAGCGTTCTGGTGACGCTCACGGACGGTTTATGGAACAGTGCGCCTATATGCGTAAAGCGTGTGGCGTACATTTACTGTGGCTGGATTTGTTCGTATTCTGTATCGCGTTTATACGCATTGACAGTCGCGACTTCGGTCGATGTTTGTGCTTACGCACTACCAAGGGGCCAAGCCCTCTTTTACTGGTTCGCCCGTTATTTTGCTGTGGACTACGGTGCAGTTCCCAACTTAACGTCCGGGGGTAGCGCATTAAATGGTTTGCCGCTCACCGCGCACGGAGTGTGTGGAGCCGTGTGCCTCCCCTCATTTTTTTAAATAAATGTGGAAGAGCGAAACCCTTGTATCGGGTATTATATATATATATATATATATATATATATATATATATATATATATATATATATATAAGGTATATTATTGAGGATCTTCAAAATTAACCACAAATTGTTTCTCTGAAAATACAAAGCTTTGTTTTATTTAACGCGTCTTTCCAATATTACAACAATTATCAAGTTATGACAATTACACTTCTATCTCACCTGAAAATACAAAGAAACGACATTTAAAGTTTACTAATATTGCTTCCTCAATCGTATCCTTCGGTTTATCTCTCTACAAGTTTTTATAACAATAAAATGCACAAAATAATCTAAACGTCATCCGCCATTGAATCATAGTTTACACATCACTTCGATGCGCCCTCTACCATCTTCCACAGACAACATAGATACGCGAAGCGCAGCAAATTCAAATTAATGAAATATCATTCATTTCATTACATCTCCCCCCCTAAGAGCAAAAATTCTAAGCAATATATCTATACAATGTACCTATAAGTTATCTTCATATTCGTTTTCTTCTCCTTCATCTTCTTCTGTTACGACAGGTTGTAATTTTGTTATGTGAAATAATGTTGATTCTGCTTTTCTGTTGCCTGTATCAAGCCTATAAATTGAATTCGATATTTTCTCTATTATCTTGAAAGGACCTATTTTTAATTCGTCTAATTTCTTTCTATTCAGTCTATTTCCATTTTCTAAATATACACTGTCTCCTACATTAAACTCTTGCATTTTTCTATTTCTATCAAATATTTTCTTGTTGTACTCATGGGATTTTATTGTATTCTCTAATGCCAATCTTCTATCAGCCATCCACTTGTCTTCCTTTTCTATTGTTTTAAATTCATTTGGTAGAATACTGACATTTGTACCATCCAGTAAATATTTTGGTGCAAAACCTGTAACGGAGTGTTCTGTTTCATTATATTTCTGTATACATTCTCTTGCTAGTGTTGTCCACGTTCTCTTATTATTTTTCTCATTCATTTTACACCTTATTTTATTTACTATTGTTTGATTTAATCTTTCATTCAAGCCGTTCGAGAATGGTGTATTCACAGCTGTAAAAATTAGTTTAATATTATTCTCCTGCAAATATTGCTTAAATTCTCTTGAATTGATGCCCGGATATTGATCTGTCAGGATAATTCCAATCTCATCTGTCTCTAGTACTTTCTTTGTTAGATTTATAAAGTCACTTGCATTCTGAGTTTTTGAAGTCGCAATAAATGCATATCTTGTGTAGTGGTCTACTAAAAGATGTAGGTATTTCTTTGTAGACCTAGATCCTCCAAAGCCACCAATAGTATCCATTGACATTATCTCAAATGGTTTTGTAGCTGGTCCCAGTTGTGACATTAATCCAATTTTTTTTTGACATCTTGATTTATTTTTTATGCATATTTCACATGTTTTACAAATATTTATAATATTTTTTGTTAGGTTTATAGCTGTATATATAGGACTTATTTTCTTCTGCAATTGTCTGATCCCAATATGGCATAAATTTTCATGCACCTTTTTTATAAGTTTTTTACTAAATTCTTCTGAGAGGATAATCTTTCCTGTTTCTTTATTTTTTTATAATAGATTTTATTTTTGTGTATTAAATTTTGTTTCTTTTCTTTTATTGTTTCATTTTTCTCTTGGTCTTCAACTATATCTTTTATTTGTATTAAATTAACTATTCTCAATAGTTCCTCACTGTTATCTTCTGATTCTAATACCGGATTTCGGCTCAAACAGTCTGCTTCTACATTTTCTTTACCAGGTATATATTTTACTGTAAAGTCATACTGAGATAGGTAATATGTTAGATCACCTAATTCTTCATCTGTCCTGCATTTAATGTTCATGTTCTCTAGAGGTTTGTGGTCTGAGTAAATAGTGAATTGTTTTCCAATGAGCCAGTGCTGCCAATATTTAACGGCTTCTTTCATAGCAAGACATTCTAAATATATAGCCTTTTTTCCGTTTTTGATGTTCGTTCAGTTTTTTTGAGAAATATGCCACCGGTTTGTCTTTACCATCTAGTTGTGTCTGTTTTAATATTGCTCCAATGCCCTCCAAAGATGCATCGGTAAAGATTTTGATTGGTAAGTCTTTGTCGAATATTTCCAAGACCGGTTGAGAACATAAATATCTTTTTATCTGATTAAATGATTCTTCACACTTCTCTGACCATACAAACTTCTCGTTTTTTCTTAATAAATTATGTAATGGATCTAGGATAATTGCACTTCTTGGTATGTATTCATGGTAGAAGTTTATTTTTCCCAAAAATTGTCTGATGTTTTTTTGCGTCTTAGGAGTTGGAAAATTCTTTATTGAAATCAAATTGTCTTTTAATGGTCTTACTGAGTTGTTCTGAATTATACGGCCGAGGTATTTTACCGAGTCTGAAGCAAAGGTACACTTCTTAAACTTCAATCTAAAGCCTTCTTTAATTATTGCCTCTAATACATTTCTTATGTGCTTTATATGTTCTTCAAAGGTAGACGAGTATATCAAAATATCGTCAATATAGTTTACAGAGTATCCTGTGAGATTGTGTTTTCTTAAAATATTGCTTAAAATTCTCTGGAAAATTGCTGGTGATGTTTTCAAGCCATAAGGGAGGCAGGTCCACTGGAAGTGGCCATCTTGTGTGACAAATCCTGTTTTACTTCTGTCTTCCACCCGTAAAGGTATTGCCCAAAATGCTGAGTTTATATCCAGTGTAGTAAAATACTTGCAATTTCTTGTTTTAATAATTAGATCATCTATCAAAGGAAAAGGTTGAGCTTGTGGTACAACAATTTTGTTCAATTCTCTGAAATCTACACATAAACGGGATTTTCTATTTTCACCTTTTTTAAAAGCCAATGTCACTGGAGCAGCGAAAGGACTGTAAGATTCTTCTATTAAATTATTCTTTAGTAACATGGATATTTGCTCTTCAATTTCTAATTTATCTTCTATTGTACATCTGTATGGTCTTTTACTACAATATTTATTTACTATTAAATCTATGTGAGCTTCATAATCTCTAACTGATCCTATATCATACTTGTCCTTAGCAAAAATTGTTGTATATTCCTTTATAATTTTC